TGTATGAGCCCCTAATAAAACTATTTTTAAAAATACACGTGTAAGTAATTGATAATAATAACATTCACCATTACAACACATAGAACTCAGAGAAATCATCATAAATCCTAATGGTGACGAGGTCTTTCATGAATGTGAGGTGGCCTTGGCTCAATGATCCTCAGGGAGTGGGTATGGCTATTAGCCCCATTTTATTGATGGGAACATTAAGGCTAGGGAGCTTGCGTGCAACCATGATTCAGGCTCAGCCCTGGCTCTTGACTGCTGCACTGCATGATGAAAAAGTGAGGAATCCTTTGTCAGAGACTCATTCTTACAATCTAAAGAGTGGCATTACTCAACAGAGCGGTGGATTTCTCTGGGACGTCTGCGGAGTGCGCAGGCTGCTACTCTTTTGACACTGCTGGGAAGTCTGGATCCCAGAGGAGCAGTCATGTCACGGGACTGGCCTGGCAGGCTTGTGTTGGAAGAGGATGCCTTCTGGTTCGAGTACCAAGGGCTTCCTTCAGGAGAAGTTCAACCACGAGTTCCAAAAGTCGGAGTGGTGTTAGACATTCAGGCGACTTTAAGTAAAGTGGAGAGGCCAGATGGGGCTGTAGCTCAACAGAGTCCTTGGAGATTGGAATGTGAACAGCTTTCCTCACCTCTGCCACGTGACAATGGGGATACAGTACAGCCAGATCACGGGATCCCCCTCCCCCCAAGAAAATGAAGAAATCTGGGTCTTTGGGAACCATCTCCCATAAATCTAAGTAACCAACTGAAAAAAAAGGATGCTCAGAACAAATAAAACCCATTGGTGGGTAGGGGGAGGGCCACCAACTAGTTTGACTTCTGTCTTAGGACTCTTGGTCGTGTCTGAATCCCTGGGGACAGACGTGGGAAGGCAGGGCAATGAGGGTCCCGGGCTCTGAGGGCAGCCTCACTGGCTTTGTAAGAGCTGCCTGTTTCATCCTGCAAGTACAGAATGCAGTCCCTGCTCAACGGGCAGATACTGTCAGGTCTGACGAGCAGCGGATGGCCGACGTGAGGTCAAGCACTGCCCGACCTTGTCATATTTTATTGTAGTCCAGCCTGGCTGACTTTGAAACACTGAGCTAGGATGACAGGAAAAGAGAAGCAGAGTTCCGGGGACGTTGAGTGCGGTGTCAGAGAGCATGAAAAGCATCTACCATATAAAATAATCCTGGAGCCGGGACCGTGCCCAGCTAAACAGAGCCTACCTTGGGAACTGACCTTCCTATTGTGCGTAAAACTACCTGCAACCAGGTTTACAATGCCCAACAGGGCTGAGCCGGGCCTAATCGCTTCTTATTTTTCCAACTACAAAAACAGGCCTACTGACCACGTCTCTCTATTTATACTATATTTCTGGCTGTGAGGTCCACAGTATGAAGTATGATAAACTTGAATTTCAGAAACAGTAGTGATGAATTTAGATTAGTAGATGGGGTTTTTATCGCTAATCTCATGGAGAATCTACTCTATTAGCACGAATGAAGCCTAACCACACTGGTTCACTTGTCAGACGTCAGAGCTACCCTGGGCTCTCAGCTAAAATGTCTACCTGATGCTTTCTTCCATCATGCACGGGCATTTCTATGAATGTGCAAACATTGTTCACCATCAGGGTTTCAACAGTTTCTGCACATCTAAGTCACAAGTCATAGATCCCTCCCCATGAGGAAAATACAAAATCAGTTTACTTGATTCTCAACACTTACCTGTGTCTCCATGCCATCTGATTGCTCCTCCTGCCAAGCCATGTATGGCAGGACGTCCACATCTTCTTTGGCGATAAGTTCCAGGATATTTGGCATAGTAGGAAAAGGTGACTCATTCTCATCCTATAGTAAACAAGTGGGTTCAATCAAAACAGTCACCATCCAATGAAATTAGCACTACAGGTGTTAAAACCAGTGATGGTTTAGTGTGGACCCTGGCTGTGTGTGAGGCTGGAGCATGTAGCCTTCACCAACATCACAGTAGAGTGACCTCCCTATTTGAGTTCTTCATGGGTTGGGCACTGCACTGAGTGTTTTATTGTGGATTTCCCTCGAGCATTTGTGAGGAAGAAGTGGCCTCTCAGACGCTAAGGGAAGTCTAAGCTTTTTCTATTTTTCTGGAGGTAGGATCTTGGATTAATAAAAAAAAGAGAACATAAAAAATATTACAAAATAATAGTCTATTTTAAAAATACACGTGTAGTGTGAAGAAAGCTGATGGCGCCGGCTATCAAAAGATAGAGCATCTGGGGTCTTGAAGGTAAACAAGCGGCCATCTAGCTCAGAAGCAACAAAGCCCACATGGAGGAAGCACACCAGCCTGTGCGATCACAAGGTGTCGAAGGGATCAGGTATCAGGCATCAAAGAACAAAAAATCATATCATTGTGAATAAGGGGGAGTGCGGGGTGGAGACCCAAAGCCCATCCCTTTATGGAAGGGTCACGGGGAGGAGACGAGCCAGTCAGGGTGCAGTGTCGCAACGATGAAACATACAACTTTCCTCTAGTTCCTAAATGCTTCTTTGTCACATGACTTCCCCCAGGTTGTTAATACAGATGGATGTATCTTGGTGTAAGAGAAGAAGTGGAACCAACTTTATTCTCTTCCAGGTGCTTGTTCACTTTTCCCAACACCACGAGTCTTCATTATCTACTAAATCCTCATGTTTATGGGGGGTACGTTGCTGAGCCATTCACTCTGTCCTATTTGATCTGCATATTCTAATGTTGTAAAGAAAAAACAAACCTAACGGAACTCACTGCAATCAGTTTTGACTCATAGTGACTGCACAGGGTAGAGTAGAACTGCCCCTTGGGGTTCTGTGGTAGTTACATAATCTGGTGTCAGTTTGAGAGGATTACGAGTGAAGGGGTGGAGTCTGGCCTGCCAATCAAGATATAACTAATGAGGGGCCTCTGTGTGGGCATGGCCTTCTCCTGAGATTTCTAGGAACCCCTGTATTTCCTCCTTGGAGGTGGGAGACACTTCTCTCTCTCTGCTCACTTCCTGCGAGACATCCCTGAGAAGCCACATGGACCTACCCTGATGCAGCCCTGGGAATTGGAGAAGCCGCGTAGAGACCCCTGCCAGCACTGAGATGCTTACATGGGACTGGATTCAAAGACTTTGTATCCACTGGCCTGTGATTCTCCTGCATTCAGTGTCATTGCATGTGTTTTGTGAGCCTGAAGAGGACTTACATTATTGACGGGTATCAGACATATGTATGGGTTAATATCGGGCTTGGACTGGACTCGGTTAGGATGCCTTCTTAATGTACAATTGCCCTTTATATAAAACTCTCTCTTACACCATGAATGTCCATGAATTTGTTTCTCTCGTCTACTTGGACTAACACACGTTCCTAAGACTAAGTTTTTTACAGGAGTAGACAGCCTCATCTTTCTCCCACAGAGCAGTTGATGGGTTTAAACTGCTGACCTTGTGGTTAGCAATTCAATGGCTAGTCCACTATGCCACCAAAACTCCTTATTTGTTGTAGTTTTGTAACAGGCTGTGACACATGCAAACATGTAATAGAAAACAATTACTGTTGCTCTTTTTGTCCAATTTTAAAAAACAACAGTGCATTGTGGTATGTAAATTTAACTTCTTTAACCTGCTATCTAAGAGTCTTATTAGCACAATTTTGTTTCTTTCTTTCTAATAGTCATATT